TTGACTCCAAGTCATGAGCAGAGTTTTCCATTGGATTAGGGGACGTCAATGCGAACCATTGCTGACCAAGACACACTTGTAGTTGATCTTCCTCCCGCGGGCATTCTCAGTCTTGCCATGGGCCCAGTCTTCTTTCAAGGTCTTCTTCTTCCACTTCTGGTCACGCGCAGTCCATCCCACAAAGCTTTTGAAGCCACTCATCGCCTGCAAGGCAAACCACGAATCACCTCCTTGCATCTTGCCCCAGCCGTAGCAGAATTTGGCAAAGGCTTTCCTGTCACAAGAGGCTGACAAATATTTAAACATTGCTAAACTGTCCAACTTGAGAGATTTTCTCCCTATAGAGGGAGCTTGTTCAAAAACCAGGAAAGCTCTGAGTTCACGCAGAGTTTCTCGAGCAAAACTGCCCATAGTTCTTCGCCCATGGGCTTTGCGAAGAGAGGGACTGGCTTTCCATTTTGCAGTCTGCATGGGAGAAATTCATCAATCACGACCGGAGTCCATTTCTGGGCCCCAGCATCATACAGCGAAATGGTATACTTGCCTTACTTGCAGCGTCTCCACTGTAATAAGTGTGTTTAAAAACAACAGGCTTCTTAGAAAAAAGAGCCCCAGGCAAATACGGATAAATGGGCAGGTCTTCCTGCCAAAGACCAACCAGCGTTCTGGAACCGCGGGTCTCTCGAATTTTCAGATACTGCCCCGGGTCAGTACCCAACACGGAGGAGCTTCGGCCCAGTTGACCAAAAAGCGACGGCCCAGTCACCATCGTCGGTCAAATGCCTGGTGGTGAAGAGTTTCTTGACCAATTCAGGGTGACTCGCCGCAGAGGCAATGGCGGCCATCAACCAGCAATCTCCGACCTGCCCTTGCTTCACCTGCAGGTTGCAGGGACGTGTACAGCACTGGCAGAACACACGAAACGTGCAGACATGTCCTGAAGGGGTGGTTTTGTTTGTACGAGGCTCATGAAGGGCGTTCCTCGCCCCAATGCTTCCCAAAACATACGTCAAAGAGTCAGGTGAGACAGCGACTGATCTCTAAACTCAATGGTAGACACAATGAATTAGTAAGGAAAGCGCAAATGAAGTCGCACATGTTTCCTGTCGTGTTCTGTTTCAGTAGCTGGGTAGGAGCCCTCTTACCAGCCTAGCGCGGAGTTGTTGTCAACAGATTTTGCGTATACTTGAGGCCAGAGGGGGTGAACGAAAGCTAGCCGGGCTTCCGGTGGTCTGCTGCTGGTGCTGCTGCTGCTGGTGCTGCTGCTGCCGCTGCTGCGCTGGGCGCTGCTGCGCTGGGTGCTCTGCAGGCGCCGGGTCGTCTGCTGCTGCTGCTGCTGCTGGCGCTGGGTGGTCTGCTGCGGCTGCTGCTGCCGCGGCGTTGGGTATGCTGCTGCTGCTGCTGCTGCCGCCGCTGGGTGGTCTGCTGCTGCTGCTGGTGCTGCTGCTGCTGCTGCCGCTGCTGCGCTGGGCGCTGCAGATGCTTGGTGTGCTGCAGCTGCTTGGTGGTCCCGCTCACCGCGCGCAGGGGGGAGTCGAACCGCGGGGGGGGGGGGGGGTCCATAAGATTGATTTAATCAATTATTTGAGGTTTCTGAGGTGCGTCCACCCCGTCACTTAACTTGCTAAAGCAAGAGCAACTCCAGCTAGCTAAGGCTAGCTTTCGTGAAAAGTTTGATTGACGACTGCGTAAAGAAGAATACTTCAGCCAAAGTGCTAAACACATAATGTATGTTGTCAAGTTTGTTGTTTCTTGCGTCGATTGTGATACGAGTGCATGATGGTACATGCTCCGTCACCAATAGCCAATAGCTGAGCCAAAATATGCTCCCAAAATGGCCCAAAATTGGTATGGCACGCCGAATCTGCCATAATCTGTCAATAAGTAATCAAGTACATTCAAGTACCATATATAATTTATAAATATAATACAATCAATGCGGGATACATACCAGCAAACAACCACCTCAGCACCGAAAAACGTGGTCGATGGCTGGGTTTCTCGAGTTTCTCGAGATCCTCCTTCGGTCGGGTCGCGTCTTGGGGGCGTATCTGGTCGAAGAGTACCGATTCCTGTGGATCGCCAAGCATGCGAGCTCTGACCCACACATCTGCAAGGTATTCCTTGCTATGCCCGCACGTGCTGCTGCCATCGTGAGGAAAGTCTGGATCTTTGAAGGCGTTGGGATCGTCCTGAGTAAGACATCGTCCATCCTCTTCTCACAAACCCACGGATTCGCCCAAAAAACATAAACAATAAACTACAAACGGATTCGCCACCTTGGCCGGTGTTTCGCTGTCTTTCTCAAATCGCCGGGGGGGAGGGGAGGATCAAATATCACGTCGCGCAGGATCTCACCGCTGTCGAGTTCACCCAAACCACACCAACTTGACCCCGTAGTTCAGCCCCACGGATCGACGGAGCAAGTCGTGGAGGCGGTTTTCGGATGACCACCCCATACCACCCCTCCAAGAGGGAACGAACAGCCTTCCACGAACAGCAGATCGCTGCAAAAACTGAACGTTTCGGATGATCTTCAAAAGCGGGGGACCTTTGGCTGACCAGAGAAGATGAACAGAATAGACTTCTGGGGGCCCAGTCAACATACCAGGGTCCGTTGAAAGGGTGCCATGATCCACGGTCCACTGCCATATCGCTCTGTCTGTGCCCCTCCAAAAAGGCTTAGCTTACCCGGCTTAGTGGGTACCAGCTTTGCTCTATCTCCTCCGGTCAAAAAAGCCATTGAGCTTGTCTATCTTGTCTTGATAGCGACACAAAAGCATCGTGATCGAGCATCTTCGAGTCCAGCATATTCAGAGCGGCAGGCGACTTCATGAGAGTAGTGGTATGGCTGTCCGGTCACTGTAAGCAACCTTTGCGTTTTGGACAAACAAACAAACAAACGAAGAAACAGCGCATATATAAATGTTGAGCCGTCTGAATAACATTGAGTAACCACAAGCATGATCACAACTGTTCAATCTACAGCCTGGCCTTCCTAACCACGCACAATGCAAAAGAATGTCCAGTGAAACAATCTGAGCAACTTCACTGTTCTCTGCTCACCGGGTTCCAAACCAACTGTCACGGTCTTGCCCTCTGAAAATTCGATGTTTTCGCATCGCGTAAACTCAAAGTAGAACTTCTTCTTCACCGTGAGATTAGTGTTCGTGACGGTGGCTGAAATACTACCTTGCTGCTGAAAGGCCGTGAATCACTGACACATGAAGCGGGTGATTGTTTGGATTTAATTGCGGTGAAGACATGAAACACCAAAATCACTGCAATTTGCCCAGGTGCCTTTGCCATCCGTCACATCTTCTGAAAGAATGCACTTGGGATCTTGTTTGGTGAGCCATGAGATAAATTCATGTACTCGGATGACGCCATCCTTGTTTTGATCCGCCTGGTTGAAGATGTACTTTGACCCCTTGATTCCTGAGAAGAAACATCTCAAAGTGTTCAAACGAAGTTTCTTCAAACCTTAATGAACCTTCAAAGAGGTGTGAATTCCCATAGACCCCTGGGTATCTGGGGGTGGCTGTGCTTTACCAAATAAACCCCTCAGGTGTTCCTGACAAGTTTGAAACTCGCCAGATCTTCTTCGCATCGGCATCAACTCCTCGTCTGATGAATTTCCAAGTTAGTATAGGTCTTGTTACTAGTATAGCTTCTTGTTCCTAGTGGTAAGACCAGGAGCCCCGTTCGTAGTGTCCTTGCTCCTGGTAGCGATGCCAGGAAGCTCCGGTCCTAGTAGCGTCCGATCGCTCCCAAAGACCAAAGTGTTCCTGATGCAATTCTCCACGCTTCCCAGGCATTCAAAGACCTTCGTCATCTCTTCCTCCGACAGAGTTCCTGGGGCATGCGGCATGCTGGAAAGTCCAGATTCCTACTCTGATATGATATATGGATTTGTATTATAATATATGTATATATACAATATATGGACCAATCAAGCCACATCGCACTCCAACAATATGACGCTCCAACGTCCGGTTTTCACCTCCACCGGACCACCGAGCCCTTCACCGCCGCGACCGTTTTCGTGCGCCTTCGGCGTTCGACCGGACGACCCCGCGACGTCCACGTGGATGACTCTCCGTGATTGATCGACCACCGATCTTGAAAGCCTTTGCTGTTTTTTTGTGGTGGAAGTGTTTCACCTGTCCCTGCAGCTCAGTTCAACCTCATTCGACTGAATTGGTCATGCAACAACACTACTAGAAATAAAAACAAACAAGCTTTTAGGTTGGACTGGACTTGTAGGGTGGTTTGACTTGCCAAGTCTCCATCACCATTCGCATCATAAGCTTCAAAGACCCGCTGCAAACGTTGCTTGGCGCTGGGCTGAGAAACAGCCATGGCCGCGTTTCGCAAGACACCAGGGCGGGGAAGAGGACTGGCTCACTGGTGAAGGAGGTGGTGGTGGTGGTGGTGGTGGTGGAGGTGGTGGTGGTGGTGGTGGTGACGTGTCATTGAAAGGACTGGGCCAAAGTGGGCCGCCAAAGAGCCGGGCCATGGCCGTCGCGAGTCGAAAGATGACCTCCACCTACTAGTGATGGCCTCCAACCTACTAGCCTCAGAAACGAGCAGTGGTTCAGCAACATCCCATGGTGAAGACATCCCACTGAACATGTCCAAACGCGGGAGGTGAACAATCCTCCCAAAAGAGGTGAACAGCTAAATAAGGACTTGCTCACCTAAAGAGAAGGGTTTGGGGTTTAGGGTAATCCAAGTTTGGACATGTTCAGTGGGACGTCTTCACTTTGCAACCACTGCTCGATTCTGAGGCTAGTAGGTTGGAGGCCATCGCTACTAGGTTGGAGGCCATCGCTATTAGGTTGGAGGCCATCGCTATTAGCAACAAGAAACTACTAATAGCTCCTGGCATTACTACTAGAGTAGTAAGTAGCAAGAAGCTACTAACAAGGCACAGGCCCTAGTAACAAGAAGCTACGCATGGACGTCCCTTCCAATGGCGCCAATCGACGAGCACCCGCCTCGCCGCCACGGCCTTTGGGACGCCCCCGGCCACGGGAACCGTGAGGAGCCTCTGGACGCAGCCGAGGCGAGGGCCACGAAAGGACCCTGTGAAGGATAGGTGAGATATAGTTAGACTACATAAGGTTATATGTGTTTTTTTTTCCAGCTGGTATATATATATATATAGCCGTGGCTCAAAACATGCCAAAACCTCCCGAGACCCGTCTATATATTACTTAAAAGAAAGACGAAGAAGGTCGGATGTCAAGCCAAGCCATTGCAATCATCAAGTCTGGATCCTTCAACGGTACAGACGAACGACGACTCGGCCGTTGTGGCCCAGCACCCACTCGTTGCCACGAACGTGAGGGTTAAACCAGACGAACGTGGGTTCCAACACCCATCCGCGGCTGGGTCTTCATTCGTTCGGCAGGGAGTAGATGATAAAACACTTACTTGGTGAAAAATACTAGTACTAGCGTTGAATAGCAAGCAACCTAGGGAACTGCTCATGTTTGCTAATGTAATCAAATGTGAACTAATATGGATATGATATATTGTAGAATATGATATATGTATATATAATCATCCTGGAGTAGATAGAATGGATGAATTTTCAAAAAAACAATTCACTCCTCAAAAGCGGCCCTTCCAAACCCCATAGATAGAATATGGTTGTAGGGGCTTCTCTTCCTTTTCCTTTGTTGTCCTTTTCCTTCTCTGGTCGTTCTATTCTCTGTTCATTCTAAAGAAAAGAAAAAAGGAAAGGAAAGCTTAGATAATACACATAGGAACACAACATGAGAATAACAAAGGAGCAAATACCAGAATGGGAGGAGTTGATAAGAATCTTATCACTATATTCTATCTATAGGGTCAGTCTTCATAAAATGAAAGGGATGTCAAAAACCCTGAGTTTTTTCAAAAAGAAAAATACCCCCCTACGAAAGTAGATTCTATCTACTCCAGGATGATTATAAATAAAAGTATTATAATAGATTATATATAGTGATCCCCAAATAGATAGCAACGGTTTCCAATACATGTTTAGTGGGGATCTACTTATCTATCTATTTGGGGGGTCTATACAGTATATGGATGTTCTTAAACTGGCCTCACCGGTGGCCCGACAATGGAAGCACAAATAAGCAGCTCAGCTCAGCGCAGCCTCAACACTGGTTCTTCAAAGTGACCTCGTCCGTCACTTAGGCCTGGTAAAGGTAACTTAGGCACTCCAAAAAAATCGAACAGGTCTGAAGAAGCTGGACACTCATGAAAGCCGCCGACGCTTTTGGCGAGAAGTCTTTTGTTCGCCCGGTAAGGCACCTGCAACCTAAAGGACCTTGAGCCGCCCAGAACCAGCACTTGGGTCTTGTGTGGATACCGTGACCAGGTTGTTCGTGTGAGGAGTCACTCGGGGCCAGACTGATCTTGAGTCCTGAAAGGCAATGGCAGAACGAGGACACCTGTCCAAGGGTCAAACATGAAGTCTGACTGACCCCGGCTCTACTTTCCTCTCAGGAATCGACATCACTAGATAGAACAAGGTCATGTCTTCTGAAGCTGGGTGTTCTCACCTGCGGCCCCCGGTTTCACCCCCCCCGCGAAATCGCCGCGAAATCGCCGCTGCGCCTCGGTCGGAAGCCACACATCCTGGCAGAAAGGACCGGTGAACACGAGGAAAACTGCCTCGTCCTTGGGTGAAAGTCACTCAGGTTGTTTTCCCCACAATAGAATTCCCCTCCAACATGGTGAATACCCATGATGTCATGATTAGGTTTGGAGATGCTTCAGGTGGGGTCCACTCAAAAGTGAGGCCTTCCAATAGATGATTACAGCGATAATTGCCTGCAATTGCCTCGTTTTTGTGTTTACTCAGGAATCATCCTTGTGTTGGCCCCACTTGAAAATGGCCGTGGCCACCGCGCGACCAAAAAGATCTTTCAGGTGGCCTCCAACACCCTCAGGCCATGCACATTGGAGACCGTGCTCAGTGGGTTGTAATAGCCTCAGCCGTTCCAGCCGTGGACTCGTCAGGAGATCGAGTCGGGGTCCCACCCAAAGGGGGTCACTTTCTCCGTTGGACCAGCAACGAGGTCCCCCACGGTCCCGCTGGACCTCCCGCTGGACGGGGGGGCGACCTCTTTCGGAGTTGATCCCTGCGGCGGAGAGACCTGAGAGACCTGAGAGACCTGAAACCAACAGCCTTTCAGGTCTCGAGAGCACCGACGAGAGTCGGACAAACCTCCCCCAACCTCTTGACGTCCCACTTGCCGTGGCCACTTCTTAGACTGGGCAAAGCGAGAATCCATCACCAGTATCCGGAGTTGGGTGCCGGTTCCGAACGGAGGAAGGAGGTTAGGTGCCCAGAGTCGTCACATCCACTGATAAAAACCACCCCGACATGTGACTCCTGGAAAAAATTGGTGAGCCCAAAGTGGATAATTCCCTAGAGCTCCAACCGCTCAGAAGGTGGTTGGAGCCCTAGGGAATACATGGGAATACGTAGTAATAATGTCATGTAATGTCAATCATGCGAATCCCCAAGCAGCTCGAAACTGTGTCTATCGTGGGGACCGATCTAGGGATCCATCCACTTAGTTCCTCCTCCACGGACTCAGCTCTCGACTCAGCTTGGACCAGCTCTCCTCTACCCCTGCGAGACGAACGTTTCCCTGGAAAAGCTGGCTCCGAACGTTCCCGAACGGCCCGAACTGGCTCTTGAAACGAGAAAAAGGCTGGCTCCGAAACTGGCATGAGAACTTTCCACCTGTTCGAAAGTTAAAGGATGTGAAAGGATGTGAAAGGTTATCCTTGCTGGGTAGGGAATCAGGCTCCCCCCTTCTTTTTGGACATGTTTGATGATCATGTTTGTGTGTGACTGGTTTTGGGGCCATAAACTTTCAAAGGGATTGGAACTAGAAGTTCAAAATTTTTGGAAAGGCGTGAAGGGTGGTCGCCTTTCTGAAGAAACCAGAGCATTCTTAGAGACTGCTCTCATCATGTCCCTCTCCAAGGACGCCTCTGAACTCGGCAGAAACGGGACCAGCCTGGCGGCGAGGTCGAGGGTCGCGAGGTCGCAAGGGGGGGAGGAAAGATGGAACCCTAGCCCGTTTGGCTTCCAACCACCCATTAATTTAATATAATAGCCTTCTCCAGGTCGGGCTCCACTGTGCCAAATTGATGCCTGCCTAAACTGGCCAGCTTTATAGATGAAAGTTGGAAGATCAAGGTGGAATGGCCTTTCACAACGTCCAGTCTTTCCGTTCGTTGGGTACCCCTTCAATCGTTGCCGAACGGTTCGCCTCGATCGAACGCCTCGAACGCATCGTTTCCCATCGTTTCGGGTGTCGAAGCGTTGGGGGATCTGCATTATTGTTTTGAGGAGCCCGAAACGTAAGGAATCCTAAAAAGAGCTCCAGCGGGGATCTTTTGGGAGGCTCCCCATTCTGAGCACACCTACCATGCACACCTACCATCTGGCACAGGTGGTCTCGGTCGCTGCTCTCGCATCCACTTAGGCCGAGCGGCCGGTCCCACGCCGTCCTTCGCCTTCCGCTTCACCACGCCCTCGAAACGCGGAATCGGACGCGAATCGGGGCGTTCACGACGGGCGTTGGCTCCGAAGAGGATACTGGAGGGCGATTTGGGATGAAACTCACTAATTAGTACAGCTGCCATCTCTCTCACTTCATCTCACTTCCAAGGCGAGGATTTGTCCGGCGCCCACGTCCAAGCGGCTCGATGAAGATCGCAAAGGCCACGCAGCACCAGCTGTGGCTTCTGGCCACGATGGCAAGTCATGAAGAAAAGTGGGGTGTCCAGTCCCAGACCATCCATGGTGCTTATATTTTTATATGCCGGCTGCTTCCAACGGGTCACCAATGGACAACCCCACACTTATAGGTCTCCCTGGGAAGTGCTAGGTACATTTACCCCATTTAAATGACCCCAAGGAAGGTATCTATATATGTAACTGTTCCATACATGGATGGTCTGGGAGTGTACGAACCGTATAGTTTGTCTAAAAGGGTCTACTGAAACACGAGGAACACTGGAACACCCCACACACTTGAAAACACACATACTGTCATACCGTCACATACTGATCAAACCTAAGATGGGGAGCAGAAATGAACAAAACACACTCAAATCTGCATGGGATTTGCATTTGGGGTGCTTTTGCCGGGATGTCTTCCTTCAGGAATCTCTACACATCTCTTACCTCCAGCAAGTGATTTCGAAAAATATATATATATATATATTTAAAACAAAAAAAACAAGAACTAGACATGTGACATATCATCACATGCTTTGTGTTGGTTCCACTGCCAAACACATCCCCGAAACTCCCGGGCGGCCCTCACTTTCCGTGCCATCTATATGTAAGTATAGCTTCTCATGTGATGCCCCACCGGTCCAGGAATGCACCAGTCCAGCCCACGGCAACCCACCTCGCACCGGTCCCGCGAACTGGTCCGGAACGGCTCCTGGGAACCCAGTGGAACGGTGGCCAGCCAGGTGAAGGGACTTCCACCTGGAGGACGGACGGACGGCAGGTGAACGGAGGTTGGAGAGCATAAAGGACCTTAGGACCTTGGGACCTTCAAACCAGTGAAACTCCATTCGGTTTATAGTCTTCATGTTTTAAAGGGTTAATATGGTATTATACGGGACGGCACGATCCTTACTCAATCGAAAAACAATCTTGTTAAAGAGGTTCAAGACTTGGAGTTACTGAAGTCTAAGGAAACCAAAACAAGAAAGAAAAATCTTCCCAACTGCCAGGGGATGAAACCCAGGAACTAGGAAAATACACATCGATCATACATCACCATATCCGCAAAACCAAGCAATGCAACCGCAGAATCGGAACTCAGCGAGGGAATTCCAAGGCTGAGATATATATCTGGAGAACAAAGATGAACCAAACTGTCCACTCCCAAGAACCGGTGAAAGAATCACTCACGAATCGTTGCACAGCACCTCACTAAATAGGCGGAGATGGTGCCACTCACATCCGCAGATCGAGAGACGGACGTTGGATCAATAAAGGTTGAGAAAACGATAGAAACCGTCTATAGAAAACGTCCTTCAAAGGGTCTATTCTTGCTTGATCTGAGTGCACATTATTCCAGAAAGCAGGAACCCATGCTCTTTCGAACGGTTCAATATGAGAGCGCCTTAAATATGAGGTTTAAACGATATAAACATTCCCCGTATTACAGGCTAAAGGAACCATGGGGGGCCAATCCTCACATCTCCGAACGAAGTACACGATGCATAGCTGGCAGCTGGATGCGCTTCGTTTTGGCCCGAAACCACCTCATTGAGGCCCCATCAGGGCCTTGGTCTCGGTCGCAATCAGGTGCACGTCTTCGGCTGTAATGTCAGAAGTGCTTGCAGAGATTGCCAACAAAATAGTTATACAAATTTGTGCAACATCATCTGTACAACCCCTTTCTTTACATCAGGGTTGCTCAAAAATGGCAGCCTGTTCTTCTATATCAAAGGCTCCCTACGAGTTTACAGAATCTGCCCGCGGCACTATCCACTGACAGGACTGGAGTAGCGCGTTTGGGGTCGGTGAATTTCAATAGCCAACTTTTGTGGCCATTCACCGGTAATATGGCCAGTAGGAGTGGTAGTAAGGCCGGTAGCGCCGGTAGGGCCGGTAGTAGGGGCGGACGTAGGGCCTGTAGCCCCAACGGCGACCCCAACCAATGAAGGCCCTTGCATCCTCGGGCGGACGAAGGACAAGACCAGCGACGACCAGAGAAAAAGGGTTCTTGGTGGATTCTCCAAACAGAAAATATCTGCCACATGGCAAAACAACTAATTCCGAAATTTCAGACAAATAGAAGCGTTTTGACATGACCGAGGGGGAACACTCGCAACACCAAACGATATAAAGCCTTGTCAAAGAAATGCTAATCTATCCACTGCTTCCATTGGTTGAGGAGGCTCCTCATCCTCTCCCCTCATCGCGCCCCACTCCTGCGCTTCAGCATAGGCATATGCATCCCAATCTGCTGGTGCCCACCGGTCTCCCTCATCATGCTTGTCCTGGTTCTCTTCAGTGTCACCTGGTGCTCGCAAGGCGCCTCCAAAACCGTCAAATCCTACCAACATTGGGTTGGTTCACCTTGGTTCACTTGCAACATTGAGGTGGAATAGAACTTACCAAACCCAAACCTCAGCGAGTGACTTACTCGCCCTGACGCTCCTGACACTCAGACAAGATAAACATCAAATAACTGTTTCTCTGCCTTTCTGTCTCGCCTGCTTCTTCCTCCAGTTCCTCGCTTGAAGACGCTGCACGGTCGATCTCTGGGCTGCTACGCTGCTGGCCGTGGCGGCTCGCGTCGCCCTGCGGCAAGCCGAGCCGGGGCGAGCCACGGAAGAAGGGCATCGGCGACCCAGAGCTCTCGGCGCCAAAGAATGCCACGGTCACCAAGAGCAGCTTCATCAGTCACCAACGGAGGAGGCTGGCCAATGACTGAGCGACAAAAGCGCTATGGAGAGGACGGCGAAGCAAAATGTCCTGATGAAACCTCTTGAAGAGCACATCTTCTGCTGCGTTGCAAGGGGAGGCAAACCATTTCCCTTGCTACCTGCAGGTCATCTATTGCAACTTGTAAACAATTGATTCTTCAATTCCCCATTCCACCGGGGAGTTTGCTGGCCATGAAGTCAAGGAGTTTGGAGTGAAAAGTCAGTGTTTCACTGTCTCCCCTTACAGTGGATTGAGAGTAGATGGCACAATCCCCAAAGGGTGGTGGCTTATAAGGAACTCCCATCTAAAAGATCTAAAAGTCATCTTGGGGTTGCCCCATCTACTCTGAAACCACTGTACATGTTGGTGGGATCAGGATACCGACCGGGCAAGACCTACCTGGTGTCGGCTTCAGCCGGCAAGGCAGGTGGACCCGGTCGGGCGAAAATGGTTTTTTGCGCCCCCCCAAAATGTCACATGCTGTGACAACCTCCAATATTCTCATTCCTTCCAACAGTCTCCGACCAACAGTCAACAGCCTCACTGCCTCACGTTCCATCTCACAGCATGACATCCGATCTCGTCCGATCTCCACCTCTCGTGCAGAGCTCCATGGGGCAAACCTCTCGTCCACGAGGCGCGACGCGACGCACCGTGCGTTTTTCGGGGTTTCCCGGGTGGGTCGTCCCCCAAGCTGGTCCGGAGGCCCGGACGTCTCAAAGGGGGTTCATGTCGGGGTCACCTGGCTGGTTTCGCCCCAGCCCACCACTAAGAGACCTCCAGACAGGACACCCCGAAAGAAGGTCCAGGTATAATCTGATTGGGATGCATCCCCTCAGTCCTTGGGGCCGATTTGGCAGCCAGGTCAGCTGCTGCAGATCGTCTTCACTGTCTTTCTCCCAGGCTGCCCATCCCAAGAGAACGCTCCGTGCAATACCGGAAACATTAACATCATCATCCCCACCCATACATGGAGCATCTGCAAAGGTCATTTCTACTCAGATCCGACACCAGGGTCTGGCTCGCAGAGTCACCCAAAGGATCACCAGGTTCCAGCTGCGTGTGGAGGAGGGGGTTCGATTGGCCAAGCACTAGCACGTTCGCTTCATGTGTTTTTGTTGTGCCCCAAAACTAAAAGACGTCCAGTCAAAGCAAGAGCTGCCTTGGAGATGTAGAGAGCTCCCACACCTGGATACGGTGTCCAAAGCAAGGCAGGACAGGGATGACATGTAAGAATTCTGCACCAAGACAGTGATGATTCTTGCTGAGCTCGTGGGCTTGACTTGGACCGTTAATGGGTCCAAACTCCACAAAGACTGCCTGGTACTAGTATGGGGACGGAGTCAATTCCTCCGCGTGAGCTTCCTGGAAGCTCCCACCCATTCTGACCATTCTCGCCTTCCACGAGATGCTCCATCAGCGTGCAGAAGCCATCTCCACCGTCTCGCCTGGCGCTCAGTGTCCATCTGGGTGTGTATCTCAATAGGGAGGCACCCAACCATTGGGTTTGGTCTATGTTCCTTCTTTGAGTACATAGCCAATCTATATAAGTCCTTTCCGGAGTCTAAGGAGTGGGAAGAGATGCGGGTGAACTTGACCAGTCGATGTGCTGGTGAATTCGAGTCAATGTCACCATTCCATGGGTCGGTGGCATGCATCCCTGGAAGACTACTGTCCTCTACAAACAGGTTGTCCACTTCAAAGAAAATCAGTGTATTCACAAGACAGTCTGGGAAAGTTCTGTGTGTGTGTGTCTGTGTGTGTGTGTGTGTCAAACCCTGTTTCCAAGGGTCTAATTTAAAACAGGGGGACAGAGCTCTCTGATGCTACTCTGTCCAACGAAGCTAGGCATCAGAGAGGGAAGCATCCACTGGCCATGGATGTGTACCTGCTTTTAACGGTTGAACAAGTTGTGCAATTGACCTTGTTTGCTTTCATGGTTCTTCATGATAGTCCCCCTAAACCTTCCCACCGCGTTCTTGCAACCGAGCCACGCGTTTTCGTGAGCGTTTCGTTTTAGTGCTTTCTGCAGACTTCAAACCAGTTTGTTCAAACATCTACAAGTTTTGCGGACTCTTCACCTTACCGTTCTTCACCTTCCTTCCCAACGTGGCAATTGAGTTAACTGAAAACCAATGTCAGAGTGTGAGCCGCTCAGTCTTCCCACTTGGGTGCTGGGTGTGACCCTCCGAAAGGAGGCGCTGCTATCATGCCGGAAAGCATCGATCTTTCATTCTTATAACTGACCCTTTGTTGTTTCACTTTCATAACTGAATTAACGGACTTTTGAGCCGCCGGGCCAAAAAACGGACAATCTCAACCACCGAATCCAGAGCCGCCGGGCTATAAAACGGTAATCCACCCGCAATGAGGCAGGTTTCCCAACCCCCCCCCCCCAGCCGAGTTCTACTCCCTACCTATTTAGGGCAACATAGGGAAATGGTACTCGACACACTTGTGTGTCGGTGCCTTTCCCTGTGTTGTTCCTGTTCTAGTCTATCCTACCCGGGCGGTCTAAGACTAAAGTCCCGCTCCCTAACTAGTGCACCTAATTCACTTCGTCTAAGTATTCAGTAATTCTAGAGTGCTAGGTATTCAAACACACACACGTACACACACATGGACATACACCCCCTCCCTGCCCCCCGCTTTCCTTCTTGCGTTTTTCGTCGTTTGTTGGGCTTTCTTTCAGGCTTTTTAGGTTGTTCTTGAGGTTCGTTTCCCTACCCCAGTCAAGGGCTAAGTATTCACCTTTTCATTTTTCTACACCTATCTTTCTCTCTTGCCCTCTTAGCGCTGCTCTTTCTGTCTTTCTTTCTTTCGTTTCTAAGGCTTTTTAGGTGACTATTCAGGTCTTTCACATGCGCGCCGCGAAGCGGCACCGTGTGTGTGTCAAACCCTGTTTCCAAGGGTCTAATTTAAAGCAGGGGGACAGAGCTCTCTGGTGCTACTCTGTCCAACGAAGCTAGGCATCAGAGAGGGAAGCATCCACTGGCCATGGATGTGTACCTGCTTTTAACGGTTGTACAAGCTGTCCAATTGACCTTGTTTGCTTTCATGGTTCTTCACGATACTCCCCCTAAACCTTCCCACCGCGTTCTTGCAACCGAGCCGCGCGTTTTCGTGAGCGTTTCGTTTTAGTGCTTTCTGCAGACTTCAAACCAGTTTGTTCAAACATCTACAAGTTTTGCGGACTCTTCACCTTACCGTTCTTCACCTTCCTTCCCAACGTGGCAATTGAGTTAACTGAAAACCAATGTCAGAGTGTGTCCTTCCATGCCCTGAACCCCAGGACAGGTGACCTGTCGGAGGACGGTCTTCCAAACAAAAATTAAAGATGAAAATGAATGTGTGTCCTCAAGAAATCCGGCTGCTATGAAGTGTCAGCGTGGAGGTTCCAGCATGCCATCTCACGTCTATCTTCTGGTGGCAGGCAAGAATGGCAGCTTGCGGTATGACTGGGCGGAGTGATCCAAATGGATGTTGGTGTATGAGGGAGACCCGCTCAAATCATTTGGCCAGGGCTCACCAAACATCCAGGTACCCCTCACCCCATGTCCATTTTTTTCCCCGCCCACCCGATCAATGGAAAAAGACATGACGAACTCGTCCACCTTCCCCAGCTCCGGGGTCCAAGTGTTGTGAGCCACATGGTCAGCCCATCGCCAGTAGGTTGGAGGCCATCGCTACTAGGGGTGGAGGCCATCGCTACTAGGGTGGAGGCCATCGCTACTAGGATGGAGGCCATCGCTACTAGGGTGGAGGCCATCGCTACTATGGTGGAGGCCATGTACTGGAACGAGTTACACTCGAAATAATGATGGGAGTGGAGTTCAGTTCAGCCCTATATGGTATTATATCCAAGGGGCCATGTGCCACTTCCATTGAGTATTTCAACCAGGAGTGCATGCACGCGTTAAGCACCTCTGATGGCAACACATCCCCAAAAAATAAGACTTGCATAGACTTGCCCCCGGGTCCGATGGGTATCCGTGCCTTGCCTGGCAGACAAATCGGCGTGGTTCTCGATCTCTGAGGGATGAAGAACCAGTGGCACACCATAGAAGCAGCAAAGGTTGATGCCTCTTCCAGGCGTTCCGGACTGGATAGAACACACCCTCTGGAAGGCACACACCCGGTGATTGGACTGAGGTACACCATTAGGGTCCCAGTACCTGATTTCAGGTATGTGGATTAGCGTTTCAGATTCTTCATGGTTCGTCTCGAATGACCGCAGAATAGGTTGGAATGCATCTGTGTCGAAAAGAGGGCGGCTTCCTGACTGACCCAAATATGGAAAAGTGGTGGCGCGTAACAGCATTGGGGAGGGCAGGAGTAGAGAACTTGAGGCCAAGGGGGGGGGCGAAAGCTAGCGCTCCAGAATGGGAAAGTGGAGGGCAGCGAGGTAGGAAAAAACACGGCGCTCTTTTTGGAGGCAGGGGTGAAGAGTCCTTATATGTGGCTCTTTGCCCGGATCCTCCTGCGAGAGGAGAGAGAAGAGAGACGGAAAGACGAGAGACAGAGAGGAGAGAGAGAGAGAGAGAGGAGAGAGAGATGAGAGAGATGAGAAAGAGATGAGAGAGATGAGAGAGATGAGAGAGACAGTGAGACAGTGAGAGAGTGAGAGGGAGAGTGAGCGAGTGCGGCCGCAAGATACGCAACGCTAACCGCATGCCAAAGAGCGACGACAGGACGGAGTCGAACTTGCGAAGAGGGAGGAGGGAGGGAGGGAGGGAAGATGGGAGGAAGACAAGGAGGAGGAGAGGGGAGGTGGGGAGAGGGGAGGTGGGGAGACCTGAAAAATCAGGGGTTAGGATTTGCACCCGGTCGAAAGAAACCTTGCTATCGCAAGAGTAACTCCAGCTAGCTTCGCTAGCTTTCGTGAAATCCTTTTGTATACTTATTGTAATTAGTTCAGAGAGGGTCCTGATGGCTCATGCGGTCCTGGAACCAACTGCGAGTGTCCAGCACCCTGATCAACTTTCTTTCTTCTAGTAGATCCTTGGGAGGATTCCATCCATTTTATTCACACCCCTTGCCTCCCTTAGCGGACCCCTTCTGCTGGGTCTTCAAGGACACATCTCTTGGTCACATTACATCCCCTTTACTGCCCAACGACCCAAATGCTGCTCAAAACCTGCTGTTACTACTGCTGTTCTAAAGGTCCATCTATCTAGCCGACCAAACCTGGTGTTGGGTCCCAAAAGGTCTCCGAAAAAAAGACTGAACGGACCTCATTGCAGGTGTTGAGCCCCGAAACTTCTCTCGCCAGGTGAGAAGTTTGCACGTTGTAGCACAAGCGGCGTACTTAAGTCAACCCACGTCGCGTGAAGTCAACTCACTGCATGGGCACAAGGTTTCAGCGAGAAGTCAACCCACTCGCGTGAAGTCGACTCATTTTGGTCAAAGCACAATGGGCACACTTGAAAAATGAGCACGGCAGAAAAGTGATATGTTCAAGGAAAAGTGTGCGCACTCTGTGTTATGGCAGGCATTTGGCCTTGCTTTCTAGATGTTTCAAGCCCAAATCTCAATGGCACAGCACCATTCACACCAATGCACAACTTAGAGAATAGGTTGCATGCGCGCACACACTTCGAACTTCGAACTTGGGTTTTTCAGTTAACGCAAGTGTCTCGGTGAGAAG